AGAAGAGGAGTTTGGCTATTCTCTTAATATTGGGTTGGAATTTACTATTAGCACAATCCATGGCTCTAAAGCAAAAGCCTTCAATGGCCCTGGCTGGTAGCTCAGCTAAGGTTAGAGCGCCGTCCTGCTAGGCTAAGGCTGCCGGTTGAATCCCCCGTCCCACACAAGAACCAGGGGGACCAGGGGAAGCCAGAGGCTTCAGATTCTGAATGCAGAAATGAGTGCAACCACGAATCGTGTTCTCTCTCTGTTTCTCTCCCTCTTCCTCTCTAAAAATCAATCAATAGAAATGAAAATAAAAGAGCCGGGACCGGTTTGGCTCAGTGGATAGAGTGTCGGCCCGCAGACTGAAAGGTCCCGGGTTCGATTCCGGTCAAGGGCATGTACCTTGGTTGCGGGCACATCCCCAGTTGGGAGTGGGCAAGAGGCAGCTGGTCGATGTTTCTCTCTCATCGACGATTCTAACTCTCTGTCCCTCTCAATTCCTCTCTGTGTAAAATCAATAAAAAATATATTAAAAAAAAAGAAATGAAAAGAAAAGTCTTCAAGAATATGGCAAGTAGTCTCCCTCAGGTGTTTTGAGGGAAACACCTTGATTTTCCAACCCTCTTATGCCAGGTCAGAGTGGCAGGGGTCCAGAGCCACCCTGCCCGCCTGCTTCCAGGATGGAAAGGGTTTTCAGGGCTTTTCTTTGGATTTCAAAGTCCAGAGGCAGGGCTGTCTGCGTCGCAGGCCATTCCAGGATGAGATGCTCCTATTGTATATTGAGGAGCCTGGGGCGTCCCTGTGCTCATGTATACGCCCCTGATTGTCTGAAAGGAGTGCGGGTGGCCCCCTGCTTGCCACCCTCCCCACTGGGGACAAGGCAGCCTGTGACCCTAGGGTGACCTGGGCTCTGGGTGTTAGGCCCTTAAGACAACCTCCAGAGACTGGAAGTCACCCCTTTTCTTAGGAGGGATGTCGCTGTTCAGTGTGGCTCATTGGTAGGCAAACTAGGGCCTGGGGAACAGCCAGAAATAGTCACGTGAACTAGGGTTGGAGCCTGGTGACCAGCTTCAAGTGTTCATGTCATCAATGGGGAGGGGCCAGGTGAACAGCGGGAGGTGCTCTGGTGGACAAGGGTTGTAGACTGAGGACCAGCTGGAAGCGCTGACATCATCAAGGGGGATCGGCCACGTGGAGAGTCCTAAGGGTTTGGGGCCCTGACACCTGCTGGAAGTGTGACGTCACGAAGGGGGCGGGGCCACGTGGACAGCCGGAAGCGTTCAGGTGGTTAAAGGTTTGGGAGAGAGAGGTAAACATGGATGTGAGAGCAAAGCATGGATCAGCTGCCTCCTATGGTACTAGGGATCAAACCCCAAACCCGGGCATCTGGCCTGACCACGACTAGAACCAGCAATCTTTCTTGCATGGGACGACACCCAACGAACTGAGCCACACTGGCCAGGGCTTCTCCCGTATGATTGATGTTTCAATGGTTTTACGTCCTGTTTAAGAAGTTCTTTTCTACCTCAAGGTTGTAAACATCCCCGCCTATTATTTTCTCTATCACATAGTATTTAAAAAAATTTATTTTTTATTGTTTTTTTTTTTTTTTTTTTTTTTTTCTTTAACAGAGAGGAAGGTAGAGGGATAGAGAGTCAGAAACATCCATCAGCTGCCTCCTGCACACTCCCTACTGGGGATGTGCCCACAACCATGTTACATGCCCTTGACCGGAATCGAACCTGGGACCTTTTCAGTCCGCAGGCTGACACTCTATCCACTGGGTTTGGCTATCACATAGTATTTTAAACATTAAATCTCAATCCCAATATAACGAAGCATTTAAAAATATTGAGGCCCGGCTGCAGACGCCATTATCCTCTGTGTCTCTGCTGCACCCGCCTCTACGTCTTGCTTACGTCCCGCTCGTTTACAGCCTATAGATCGTTGTGTCCATGTCATCCAGGAAAATGGAAACTGAACAGCCAGAGGAAACCTTCCACAACTCCAAAACCGATGGTGAGTTTGGTAAACGCCCCGCAGAAGATATGGAGGAGGAAGAAGCTTTTAAAAGATCTACCGTATTTCCCCGAAAATAAGACATCCTCCGAAAATAAGACCTACTTACAGGTTTCCTTCTGAGTGAAATATAAGGCATGCCCCCGAAAATAAGGCCCCCCCTAGGCTAAACATGAGAGATTTGGTCCACTGATTCTGAAAGAAATGGAGTCACAAGAAATTCAGGAAATTCAGGAATTGGATTGTTATGATGATGTTCCAGAAGATGATGACATGGTTGTCATTGAATAAATGAGTAAAGTCTTGATACTGTAAGATTCACAGTTTGTCCGGTTTGTGTTGACAACTACCGTACTACCGTACCGTATACAGGTAATAAATTTCCTTTATTTTCATTTAACAATAAATATGTACCGTATTCTTCTTCACGGAAAAATAAGACATCCCCTGAAAATAAGACCTAGCGCATCTTTGGGAGCAAAAATTAATATAAGACACTGTCTTATTTTCGGGGAAACAGGGTAGGAGCACTGATGAGGTGGCTGGATTACGCCTTCTGCTTCAGAGCAAGAACGCGGGGGCAGTGATTGGAAAAGGAGGCAAGCCTACTAAGGCCCTGCGTACAGACCACAACGCCAGTGTCTCAGTCCCAGACAGCAGTGGCCCCAAGCGCATATTGAGTATCAGTGCCGATACTGAAACAATTGGAGAAATTCTGAAGGAAATCATCCCTACCTTGGAAGAGGACCTGCAGTTGCCGTCACTCACTTCGACCAGCCAGCTCCCGCTGGCTCTGACGCTGTGGAATGCTTCTATGACCAACACTATAAAGGAAGCGACTTTGACTGCGAGTGGAGACTGTTGATTCATCAGAGTCTGGCAGGAGGGATTATTGGGGTCAAAGGTGCTAAAATCAAAGAACTTCTTGAGAGAACACTCAGACAACAATCACGCTTTTCCAGGAATGCTGTCCTCATCCCACTGACAAGAGCCGTTCTTATTGGAGGAAAAGCTGATAGGGTTGTAGAGTGCAGGAAGACCATCCTTGATCCTATATCAGAGTCTCCCATCAAAGGACGTGCACAGCCTCATGATCCCAACTTCTATGATGAGACTTCCGATTACGGTGGCTTCACCATGACGCCTGATGACCGCCGTGGCCGTCCTGTGGGGTTTCCCATGCGGGAAAGAGGTGGTTCTTTTTGTTTGTTTTAAAAAATATATATTTTATTGATTTCTTACAGAGAGGAAGGGAGAGAGAGAGAGAGAGCTAGAAACGTCGATGAGAGAGAAACATCGACCAGCTGCCTCTTGCACAACCCCTACCGGGGATGTGCCCTCAACCAAGGTACATGTCCTTGACCGGAATCGAACCCGGGACCCTTCAGTCCGCAGACTGACGCTCTATCCACTGAGCCACACCGGTTTTGGCAAGAGGTGGTTCTGACAGAATGCCTCCTGGTCGGCGTGGGCGTCCCATGCCTCCGTCTAGAAGAGATTATGATGATAGGAGCCCTCGGCGAGGACTGCCCCCCTCCTCCCGGACGAGGTGGCTGGGGTGGTGGCAGAGCTCGCAATCTTCCTCTTCCTCCACCACCACCACCGCGAGGAGGGTGAGTTTCTTTCCATCGATATGTTACTAACATGCAAGAGGCTGCCGTTTAGGGGCGAGCGGGGTTAGGTTTTTTCATTTGATGTGTGTGATGTTAATAAGCTGAGGTTACAACCAGTACTGTGTTTGCAGGGGTCTGATGGCCTCTGACGGGAGAGGAAGCCCTGGAGATCGTTGTGATGGCATGGTGGGCTTCAGTGCTGATGGCGCCTGGGACTCGGCAATAGATCCGTGGAGCCTTTCAGAATGGCAGGTGCTGAGGAACCTCAGGGTGCCTCTGGGTGTGATTACTCCTGTGCAGGGGGTCGTGGCTCCTATGGTGACCTGGGTGGACCTATTATTACAACACAAGTGACTATTCCCAAAGCCTTGGCTGGGTCTATCATTGGCAAAGGTGGTCAGAGGATTAAACACATTTGTCCTGAGTCAGGAGCCTCGATCAAATTTGATGAGCCTTTAGAAGGGTCTGAAGATCGGATCGTTACCATTACAGGAACACAGGACCGACCAGATACAGAAGGCACAGTGTTTGCTGCAGAACAGGGTGCAGCAGTATCTGGGAAGTTTTTCTAAGACTAGTGAAGAACTGAAGGAGTCCTGCATCTTTTAAAAAAATTTTTTATCTGCTTCTGTTTAAAAAGCCAACATTCCTCTGCTTCATAGGTGTTCTGCATTTGAGGTGTAGTGAAATCTTTGCTGTTCATCAGATGTAATGTTTTAGTTCCTTACAAACGGGGTGTGTGTGTGTGTGTGTGTGTGTGCGCGCGCAAAAACTAACATTGAAATTTTGAAACAGCAGCAGAGTGAGTGAATTTTAATTTTTGTTCATTGTTGGTGGTTAGAAAATTCCCCCTATGTAATTATTGTGAACACTTTGCTTTGTGGTCACTGTAACATTGCGGGGGAGGGTGGGACAGGGAGAAAAAGTAATAATAGTCCATATGTCTCTGGCATCTATTCAGAGCAGTGTGCAGAATGTAATGCTCTTTTGTAAGAAACGTTTTATGATTTTTAAAATAAATTTAGTGAACCTATTTTTGGTGGTCATTTTTTTTTTTAAAGATGGTCATTTTTCAAATGGCTGAATTCTCCAACCTACCCCCAACTAAACACTAAGTTTGATTTTCAGCCCCTCTGTTGGACTTGGACTTAGGCAAAAATAAAATAAAATAAAATAAAATAAAATAAAATAAAATAAAAATAATCTTTGCAAATTCAGTTCTGGTGATTTCTGGATGGTTTGAATGTCCATTGCTTGGGAAGAAATTCCATCATACGCACTCAGGCTTATAATCAGCTAGGGATTCTGTTTTTGTAAATGCTTACCCCTACTTTGCAACAGTTTCCTATGTTAGTGATTGTGAAGAACCAAGGTAGGGAGCAGAAGTAATGGTATAAATGTATACCAGCAGCCTGATAGCAAGTTTTATTAATTGGAGTAATACTTGGTTATGGAAGTGACTGATGCTAAATAAATTTCTGATTATTTTTTATTAGATAATTTCTTATCAACAAATTTAAACTGTCAGCCTGCTTAGTGTCTATTAGTTAAACTTTGTAATATATATATATATATATATATATATATATATATATATATTCTTGTTTTTCCATTGTATGCAAAGTGAAAGAAAAAGATGTACCATTTCTTTGTTGTATGTTGGATTATGTAGGGAATGTTTGTGAACAATTCAAAAAAAAAAAAAAAAGGGAAAAAAGTTCCTGTGGATGTTTTGTGTAGTGTCTTGATGTTTGTATTAATAATAGTTAAGTTCACTTCCGAATAAAACTCCCATAATGCTAGATTTGATGTGTGCCCAATTTGAGCAAGGGTTGATTGACACCTGTAAAATTTGTTAAACCGTTCCTCTTGTAAGGAAATATAGTAATCTTAAATTACAATATATATATTGAGGCCCTGATAATGTTATTTTATTGATTTCAGAGGGGGAGGGATAGAAGAGAGAGAGAGAAACATCAGTGATTAGAGGAAATCAATGATTGACTGCCTCCTGCATGCCCCCTACTGGGGATCAAGCATGCAACCCAGGCGTGTGCCCTTAACTGGAATCAAACTCAGGATCCTTCAGTCCTCAGGCCGCTGCTCTCTTCACTGAGCCAAACCGGTTAGGGCAACAATTAGAACTTTTTTATTTTAAAAAAAATATGTTTTATTAATTTTTAATTTTTATTTCTTTATTTCTTTATTTTTACAGAGAGGAAGGAAGAGGGATAGAGATAGAGAGCTAGAAACATCGATGAGAGAGAAACATCGATCAGCTGCCTCCTGCACACTCCCTACTGGGGATGTGCTCGCAACCAAGATACATCCCCTTGACCGGAATTGAGCCTGGGACCCTTCAGTCCGCAGGCCGACGCTCTATCCACTGAGCCAAACTGATATCGGCAACAATTAGAACTTTTAAGAAAAATAAAAAAGTGAGTGACAAAGGGCCCTAGCCCGTTTGGCTCAGTGGATAGCATGTGAATCTGCAGACCAAATGGTCCCGGGTTTGCTTCCGGTCAAGGGTTGCGGACTCCTTTCCAGCCAGCCCCCTGATCAGGGCTAGTGCAGGAGGCAACCAATAGATGTGTTACTTTGGCATCAATGTTTCTGTCTTTCCGTCTCTCTTCTCTTCTCCCTAAAAATCAATGGAAAAATATCCTCATTTCAGGATTGACAAGCAAAAAAAACACAGAAAGAAAGAAAGAAAGAAAGGGAGGAAGGAAGGAAGAGAAAGAAAGGAAAAAGGAAAGAAAGAAAGAGAGAGAGAGAAAGAAAGAAAAGCAGAACCCTACTCTGCAGTGAACATTTACATGGTCATAATAATGTGAATTCTGATCATGATCCAATTATAGTGGTATAACTATATTTTAGGATAGAGTGATAGGAGAGGAGGGTTGGTATCTTTCCTTTTTTTAATGCTATACAGTCAGTTGCTACTGTTTAAAATACAATAGATAAAGAAACAGAGATATGAACAAAGTATCCTATATAATAAAAGGTTAATATGCAAATCAACCAAAGAGCAGAACGGCTGGTCACTCTGACACGCACTGACCACCAGGGGGCAGACATTCACCATAGGAGCTGCCCCCTGGTGGTCAGTGGGCTTCCACAGGGAGAGCACCGCTCAGCTAGAAGCAGGCTCAGGGCTGGCGAGCTCCGTGGCAGAGGTGGGAGCCTCTCCCGCCTCACGCAGCAGTCAGACATCCCCTGAGGGGTCCCAGATTATGAAAGGGCACAGGCCGGGCTAAGGGACTCCCCTCCCAGTGTACAGGCCTCTCGTCTATTCATATAGCAATATTGTAGAAGTAGTAGCTTTGAGATAAAAGTTGCAGTAAATGGATACTCTTCAGAATAAGCCTTTATATAACTACTAGTGGTCCAAGGCACGACATTTCTGCATGGGGGGAAGGGTATCCCTCAGCCTGGCCTGCACCCTCTCCAATCTGGGACCCCCTAGGGAGATTTCCAACTGGCAGTCGGCCATCCCTCTCACAATCTGGGACTGCTGGCTCCTAACTGTGCACCTGCCTGATCGCCACTAACCACTCTGCCTGCCAGCCTGCTTGCTCATAACTGCCCCCTCCAGCCTGATAGCCTCCAACTGCCCCCCCCCCCCGCCGCTGGCTTGCTTTCCCCCAATTGTCCCCCCCTTCCACCAGCCTGACCACTCCACTGCCCCCCCCCCTTGCCAGCCTGCTCACCCCTAACCGCCTCTGCCTCCGTCCCAACACCATGGCTTTGACCAGAAGGACTTGTGGAAGGTCTCCCGGTCTAATTAGCATATTACCCTTTTATTAGTATAGATATTAACTATATAAACAAACAGTACGTATTATTTTTTGTTTGTTTGTGTTTTGAATCACACATGTTACAGAAAGAAGAAAGAACAGGAAGGCAGACAAGGAGAGTGACTACTTATTCTCTGATGGCACAAATAACAGACGGTATGCCTGCTCAAGACAGGACTTGCCGTAAATACCAGGCATGCAAGCGTGGCAGGATAATTTAGTGAGATGCAAAGTTTTATCTGTTCTGTGTATGAGTATCTTTTCTCTTTATTTTTTATTTTAAAATATATTTTATTGAGTTTTTACAGAGAGGAAGGGAAAAAGATAGAGAGCTAGAAACATTGATGAGAGAGAGTCATTGATCAGCTGCCTCCTGCACACCTCCTACTGGGGATGTGCCCGCAACCAAGGTACATGCCCTTGACGGGAATCGAACCCAGGACCCTTCAGTCCACAGGCTGACGCTCTATCCAATGAGCCAAACCGGTTTTGACAAGCGTCTTTTCTCTTTAAAAACAAGCAAGGGTTTTGGCAGGGCCGAGAGAAGAGGCATCCTGATGTCAAAGGCCCTTATATCTTCATAAAAGTCGAAAGCAAGTCTGGGAAGAGGTTATGCCCTGACGAGGCTGGACTCAGGGAGGGTTCTGGAGATTTTTTAAGACAGCGGAGGGGATGGGAGGGCCAGACAGCCAGGGCTCTGGGATCTATCTGGGGAAACTACGTCCAAGGTCAGGCAGTGGTTTTCATAACCGAATTCCTTATCTAAAAAAACAAACAGAACCAAAAAAAGGAGCTAAGGGCTTGGGAGTCCAGGACCTGGAGAGCCAGACCTGCTGGAACCCCAGGGAGCACAGCGTTCACCGGTGAGGTGGGCGTCCAGTGAGCGGCTGGGGAGGGGCGGCGAGAAGCCGCTCTGGTGGCTTGTCTCTGGGACTTCGGCACGGCCCCGGGGAGATGGGACCTATTTCCCATCAGCACTCCAGCCAGGGAGTGGGAGTGGGAATCAAGTTCGTTGGAAGGACATTTAAAAAAGCAGTCACTCTTGCACATCTGTGTTTGTCTACTGTGATCACACCTGCTGCCTGAGGACAGGCAGGGCGGAGCCTCAGCAGACACCATAAAACTTGGTGGTAAGTGGTGAGCGCTGTGGCTCAGGCTCAGGGGGAAGGAGAAGGTGGTGGGACAGCCACCTCCAGCTTCTTGCCCCTTTCTTAGAAAAAAAAAAATTAAAAATATGGATCTTTAAAAAAGAAAGATCCTCACTCAAGGATATGTTTTTATTAATTTCAGAAAGAGAGGGAGGTGGAGGGAGGGAGAGAGGGAGAGAAAGAAACACTTAGCAGTTGCCTCTCCTATGTATGCCCTGCAACCTGGTTCTTTTCCCAGACCGGAAACGGAACTCAGGACCCTTCCGTGTAGGGGTCATCGCTCCGCTGGCCCCTTTCTCAAGCCCTGGGCCCTTCTTTCCCTCACGTCCGGCCCCGCCCCTCGGATGGTCCTCCCTCTCCCACACCGGGGGTCACAGGGAATGGGGGAGTCTTCTCTGGGGAGGGGCAGGTAGAGGAGAGCCAGGCAGGTGCCTTCTGGGAGGGGAACCTGGATTTACATCTGGATCCTGGGTTTGAAATGCCTGCCCTCGGAGACTAGTCCTGGGTGTGGACTGATGGACGGGGAACAGAAGAGAAGGGGAGGAGACTTTCCCAACAGGAAGGAGTCGGAGGGAGTCCAGAAGCCCAGATGGGAATGGAGAGCGCACAGTCGCGGCAAACAAAGAGGAGAGGACAGGGAGCCCGCCTCACTGCTGGGGGCGGAAGGGAGTCCTTTTGGGCTTTGGGGTTTGGGGGTTTGGGAGAGGGAATGCTGGGACTCTGCTTAGGGTAGATCTCAGTAGACCTGTGTTGTCGGTGGGCCCAGGTGCCAGCCTTCCTCCCGGGGACCCTCCCAAGAGGTCCTTGGGAGTTTGTGAGCCAAAGGGGGCAGTCTCTGAAGGGGAGGCGGGAGGGGTGGGAGTGAGAGAATGCTGCATGGAATCAGGGAAGGGATCTCTGCAGGCTCTCCATCTCTCTTTGAGAGGAATTTCTCAGAGACCAGGAGCAGCCCAGGTCCCACCCTATCCGTCCCCTTCCCTTCTACTGCCCACAGGTCTGGGCACCTGGGCCAGCAGGCAACTTCAGGGGGAGAGGGTGAGGACATACCATTCACCAGCCTGAGCTCCTGACACCCTCGCCCCCTTAGTGACACTGGCTTCCCCGGGAACACAAACGTGCAGGAACAGAGATACCGGGGCGGGAAGCCGGAGCAGCTTTTTATTCAGCTTATACGTCATATTTACAAGGAAGAGGTGGGTGCAGTGGGGGGCAGGGTCAGGTCCAGGGTCCTGGCTGACCATTCCTCAGAGGGGACAGTCCTGCTGCCTCCTCTCACTCTGCCTCCTCTGCCTCTCTGGGCCTGGCCTGGGGCGGGGGCTACAAGTACAGAAGGGAGAGCTGAAGCAGGAGGAGGGCGGAGGCAAGGCCAGCGCGGGGGCAGAAGCACTGCTCTGGGGCCCCTGAGTCCTCCCTGTCGTCCAGGCCTCTTCTCGTCCCTTGGGTTGGAGCTTCGAATCCTGGTGCGGCTGATGGGGGCTCCCTGGGCTCCAGGCCGGGCACTGGGCTATGGCTTTTGGGGGGTCTCGGGGGTCTGGGGGGTCCGGGGGGACTGGGGGGTCTGGGAGGTCTGGGGGGCCCGGGGGGTCTGGGGGGTCCGGGGGGTCCGGGGGGTCTGCGGCTCTTCAGTCCTGGAAAGGGAGGAGAGGGGCTTGAAGGACTGACAGAGGCTTTTCTTCACTCCCCTCCCCCCCCCAGTCCCTTCAGCTTCCTTACCTCTTAGAGCCTTTGGAGCTCTTTCTCTTCTCGCCAGCCTTGTCCTTCTTGTGGCGTGGTTTCCGTGGTTTCTGTGGGGCAGGAGGTGCGTCCAGACGGTGCATCAACCTCTGCACCCAGTCCTCCTTCGGGTCCGCGCACAGCTCCGCCTGAGAGCGCTTCTGAGGTGAGAACCTGGAGAGGGGCATTCGCAAGCCTGTCCTGACCTCGCCCGCCTCGCCCAGCCCAGCCCACCCAGCTTCGCCCACGCCCTGGCACCCAACTCACAGGATAGCGGGGATGGGGCAGCCCAGGCTCGGCTCCTGCTTCCTGTAGCCGTTAACAAGGCGGCTAGGAATCTTCTTCACGCTGTACCTGAGACAGCAGTCCTGCGCCCCTCCATCGCTGCCTGCAGAGGGCGGTCACAGGGCGCCGGGGGCTGCTTACAGGCTCCCAACCAGGCCTCTCCAGCCCCTCTCCCCATCCATCCCAGGCGGCCCCTTCCCTGATACCTTGGGCCCAGGGGATGCAGAAGGCCAGGACCAGGAAAAGGAGGCTCAGAGCCAGTGACTGAGCCATGGCTGTGGCTGAGGGTGAGTAGAAGGCCACAGCTGTGGGTGAGGTGTCAGTGCAGTTGGGGGTCCTGGAGTGGGCAGGCCTTTTATGCAGTACTTCCTTCGGGGAGGGGGAGGGACCGGGGGGGGGGGGCAGGATATGAACTATTCTCTCGATACGCATGCCTCTCCTTTCCTGATCTAGGCTGGTACAAAGGTTATTCCTTAGCAAATGTTTTTTATTTTTTTATTTTTTTTATTGTTTAAAGTATTACATATGTCTCATTCCCACCCTCACCCTAACCCTCCCCCACCACTCCCATCCCCTAGGACAAGCCCCCAGGGTCCGTTTCCATTGTTTATGCTAATATTCATGCATACAAGTTCTTTGGTTGCTCTCTTACCCCTCTCCTGCTGTCTCTCTGAGGTAGGATCTATTTTTGTTCATCAGTTTATATTGTTCATTATATCCCACATATGAGTGAGATCATGTGATAGTTATCTTTCTCCGACTGGCTTGTTTTGCTTAGCATAATGCTCTCCAGGTCCATCCATGCTGTTGCAAATGGTAAGAGATCCTTCTTTTTTATAGCGGTGTAGTATTCCATTGTGTATCAACCACAGGTTTTTAATCCACTCATCTGCTGATGGGCACTTAAGCTATTTCCTTGTAAATTGTGCTGCTATGAATATAGGGGTGCACATGTCCTTTCTAATTGATGTTTCTGGCTTTTGGGGATATATTCCTACAAGTGGGATCACTGGGTCGAATAGGAGTTCCATTTTTAATTTTTTGAGGAAACTCCATACTGCTTTCCACAGTGGCTGCATCAGTCTGCATTCCCACCAGCAGTGCACGAGGGTTCCTTTTTCTCCGCATCCTCGCCAGCACTTGTTGATTTGTTGATGATAGCCATTCTGACAGGTGTGAGATGGTACCTCATTGTTGTTTTGATTTGCATCTCTCGGGCGATTACTGACTTTGAGCATGTTTTCACATGTCTCTTGGCTTTCTGTATATCTTCTTTTAAAAAGTGTCTATTTAGGTCCTTTGCCCATTTTTTGATTGCATTGTTTATCTTCCTTTTGTTAAGTTGCATGAGTTCCCTGTAGATTTTGGAGATTAAAGCCTCATCTGAGAAAGCATTGGCAAATATATTCTCCCATGCAGTGGGCTTTCTTGTTGTTTTGTTGGTGGTTTCTTTGTTCATGGTTTTGTTGATGGTGCAGAAGCTTTCTATTTTGATGTAGTCCCATTTGTTTATTTTCTCCCTGATTGTTCCTAGGGCAATGGAAAAAATATATTTATATGATTAAATAAAACGAGAAAGAGGGAAAACAGGTCTATCACATCTTTTCATTTGTGCAGAAAATGTATCAGTTTATTTGTGCGTCCTTTGCTAAGTTAATTTGAAAGATACATGGGGAAACAAAAGGGCAGACAAGGGTGGGAAAGAGGCATAGTACATGCTTTAAAAAAAAAAAAAGTATATTAATGTTGTTATTATAAAGTGTGAAGTCGGGGACCCCACAGGTGGTGTCTGCCTTTCGGCTTAGGCCTGCTCTCCAGTTGGGGGCTGTTTGGGCTTAGGGGGTTTGGGGCTCTCAAGGTCTCGGACCCCTTGCTCCTTACCACCTGACTGCAGCGGGGGTGGGAGAGGCTCCCATCACTGCCACGCGCTCGCTAGCCATGAGCCCGGCTTCTGGCTGAGCTGCACCCGCACTGTGAGAGCGCACTGACCACCGGGGGCAGCTCCTGTGATGAGCCTCTGCCCCCTGGTGGTCAGTGTGCATCATAGCGGCCGGTCATCCAGTCCTTCTGTGGTAAGGTCGCTTTGGCTTTCATAAACTAGATTATTTTTTGTGACTGAAGTCAAGTAAATGCTCTGGCCCTTCATCCAGAGGCCTCACCTCTTCCTCCAGCCTTTCTCACAAGCCCTCTCCAATCCACCCACTTAATTGTCTGGTAAAATCAGACTGCCTGCCGAAACCGGTTTGAATCAGTGGATAGAGCGTCGGCTTGCAGACTGAAGGGACCCGGGTTCGATTCCGGTCAAAGGCATGAACATGGGTTGCGGGCACATCCCCATTCGGGGATGAGCAGAGGCAGCTGAGTCGATGTTTCTCTCTTATCGATGTTTCTAACAATCTGTCCTTCTCTCTTCCTCTCTGTGAAAACTCAATAAAATATATTTTTAAAAAACCAAACAAACAAACCAGACTGCCTTTCCTACTGCCAAATGTTAAGTGCTCTGCATGTTGACGAGTTTCTCTCTCCCAACTATGACTATGCCTCTTTGTAGAGGGAAGTGACACTTTCAGTTAAGGATCACAACCTAATTGTTGCTCATGGAGAGTCTTCTGTCCCTCTCCCTCAAGAGACGCTTGTTGTCCCTAAACACTCAATTTTCTGGGACCGATGGTCAGACAGTAGTCGTGAAGGAGAGCGCCAAGCCATCAGGCTGGTGTCGGTGTGGAGAATGAAGAGAACGTGGGAGCACAGACACTGCCTGTGAGCCGGCATGTTTAGCCTCTGGCTCTGTAACCTTTACAAACTGGACAACCTGACGTCCTCACGGACAGACTGAATCACCACACAAGCTTCCCTAGGACGTACGCTCTTCGAGGCTGCCCCGGCCCAGTGGAACAGAAGGGCTTTGTGATGCATTCTGCTGACCAGGTTCTATTCTCTGTGAGGCGGAGATGACAAAGCAGAGCATGGGGAATCATTAGACAGGAGGATCCTGAACGCCTGGATGGCTCCTCCCCTCATGTGAAAGTCATGTTGAGCTTTACTTATGATCTTCAGAATGTTGGAAATTTCTTATATACATATGGCGCCATTTTCCTTATTATCCTAATTACCTGGCAAGTGAAAAGGAGTTACTTTGGGTTAAGGTTGGAACCTAAAAGGAGCTGCTACCAGGTAGGAAAATAGTAACACCATAATTGAACTAGTTAAGTTTTAGATAAGAAGCTTTTTAAGATCTCAAAACTTCCTTCTACCTTTCTTGCCAATTAAAAAAAAAAAAAAAAATATATATATATATATATATATATATATATATATATATTATTGATTTTTTTACAGAAAGGAAGGGAGAGAGATAGAGAGTTAGAAACATCGATGAGAGACATCAATCAGCTGCCTCCTGCACACCCCCTACCGAGGATGTGCCCACAACCAAGGTACATGCCCTTGACCGGAATCGAACCTGGGACCTTTCAGTCCGCAGGCCGACGCTCTATCCACTGAGCCAAACCAGTTTTGGCTCTTGCCAATTTTTATACTATACATTCAGTTACTCCAATATGGTGCTTTTCTCAGAGCCTAGACGTAATTTCCTACTAAGCCATCACCTTTTAATTCATTTCACTCTCCCTCCTGTGTCATGCTTAGCCCTCTAAAGAAACTGTCCTAACCTTTCTCAGGAAGTAAGGAATGTGGAGACTCTTGAGCTGAGAAATAAGTAGGAAAGTGAAATGTTGGGGTGAAAGGGTGGAGTAGAGGCAGGGAATGTGAGTGCATTAAATACATAGACAGGATTTTGGAAATTTATATTCATTCGTTCTGACTCATTTTGGACATAAAAATAAAGTGTCCCAATCTCACACTCACTTTTTTCTCTTTAAGTGTCAACAAAAGCTCAGGCAAAAGGCGAGAGATGCAGCATCCAGAGGTAAAGTACCAGTCTTTTTTCTGACTCCCCTTTCCTGTGGATGAGGTTTCCATGGGTTTTGTCCCTCTTTGATCTCTGGTGCTTGGGACAGGTTCTCTAAACACTGTGGAGAGTGGGAGCTGGTGAGTGGGAGCCATATGTTTGATGGATTGAATATGGGACTCTGCAATAGTCCAATATTCCTAAATCAAGGAATTGCTCCAATTCCACAAGTTGACACATTCTCCTACCTGTCATTTACTAATTTTATGACCCTGTGTGAGTCACTTCATTTTTCAGTCCTTGGTTCATTAAATGCCCATTTGAAGATTTTGCTTCGCTCACAGTGTGGCCCTGACCATCTAAATGAGATTAGGTCCTGGACAACTCATTGTAACTGGCTAAGTTTTATACAGACATGCCTTAGAGCATTGGCTGTTGGGACTCCAATCTTCAGATTCCGATAGTATGCCCTCAATCCGCTCCTTCCATGTAACACTGTCGCCTGGATTTTCAGCGAGGAGACATTTATGGAAAGAAACGGAGGCGCCGTGGGAGCTGCTTTCTGTCATGAAAAGGTGATTGTTTGCTCTTTGTAGTCTTCCAACGCCAGCCTGGACTGCTCGGCCTGGGACAGGGGTGAGGGCTGACGACTGGGAGGGAGTCCGACACCGCGGAGGCTGGAGCACTGGTTGAGAGGGTTGCCAGGGCAAAGGGGGCTCAGACATCTCAGGAGGGAGGAGTCCCAGTTCTGCTCTGGGCTAAGCTCACAGTGCTCCTGGAATCCAAAATTTGACTAGTGTTTAATTCACAAAAGATCCTAAAGGGATTGATATTCAGCCAAAAGACCAGTTATCCAGCTAAGAGAATGGATAAATAAGCATACATAAGTCATCACTGTCACATTCCTCTTACAGCTCCACCCTTTCAAGGGCAGAACCCTACACCTTGCTGACATTACCTCCTCTGGTTGTGTCTTCAGGAAGCCCAGTTCCCGAGACAGCCCCCAGGCAGGAGTTTGTCATCTCATCCTCTTCTTAAGATCTCTAGCCTGTTAACCGAGTGGGACGTATAAATACGTCAAATGTAAACAATATCGGGTACGGGTAGGATATATGAATACATCCTTGAAATATATTGGGCTGGATGTATATTTCCGAACAACAAAGGTATTAGTCATCCATACATGTCTGGACATGTGCCCCCACCCGCGGGGCACAACAACGTGGGGAGAGGGAGGACCTGTGGAGGATGAAAAGAAGGGACAGGGGCACGGAGAAATGGAGGCAAGACAAAGTTCTGATCAAGCCTCAAACTTTATTTTTGGAATGGCAGTATATATACAGCAGGAACAAAGGGGGGCAGGGTTGCCTACGCAGTGGGGTCTTTGACACTGTATAATTGGTTTAGGCACTGAGTGACAAGGTGGTAAGGTATCTGGCAACACAGGATTGGCTAACTGCCAGGGCAGCGTAACATTCCAAGGTGTAACATTCCAAGGCCTGGGCTAGCTATGGGGGAGGATCAGGAAGGGGACTTTGCAGAGATCCTCCGGGGCAAGATGTGCTAAGCGGCAGGTTAATCTTTAGCTTCCGGCCAAACCTGCAGGGCACCGCATAACTTCTGCTAGAAGGAACTTAATTCTAAGACAGAGTTGTATTTTCTTAAGACAGAGTTGCTTGTCTCAACTCTGATGGCTCCCAACAGACATGAAATTAAGACACGGAGGGAATCAGTATAATTTTCCTAGTGAGAGTGGTGGACGTGTTCAACAAGAATTGTTTTGGAGTTAACACATGGCTTACTGAATAAAGAGTATAGGATTTACTTAGATAATTTCTATACGTCAATTCATTTGGCTGAACTCTTGTGTCAAAACAATACAGACATTGTTGGGACAATGAGGATAAACAGAGTTGGAATCCCCAGTGAAATAAAAACAAAAAAATTACAGAAAAATGAACATATAGTAAGATTCAAAGACAAACTTATGGTTTTAAAATGGAAGGATAAAAAAGACGTATTGATGCTCAGTTCTATTCATAATGACGAAAAGACAATGATTGAAAAGAGAGGAAGAAGGCAAGAAAAACCGAATGTTGTCCTGGATTATAACAAGAATATGGGCGGCATAGATTTGGGAGATGGAGTTATGGTGGCCTACACAGCTGCCCGTAATAGGGTAAAAAAATTTTATGATTAATTGATATGTGCTCCTTCAATGCATATATATATACAAAAAAGATGAAGGTCATTTGGATCGATTATACTTTTTGATAGCGTGTGTAGAGAAATTGGTAGATAACAACATAGTGAAAACCCACCCAAGACATCAACAAGCAGCTCTACATCTAAACCATCACGCTTAGTTGAAAGGCATTTTCCAGAACAAATGAAAAGCGATATAGGAAAAACTAAATCCAGGAAATGCCGAGTTTGCTACAAAAAAGGTGTTAGGAAAGAATCTACTTACTGGTGTCTGGATTGTAAGGTAGCACTATGTATCAACAATTGTTTTAAAATATATAACCCTGAAGTTGAGTTTTGAATTTTTACATCTATATTTTAATTTTTTAAACTCAATATTTCTATTTTATTTGTATGCTTTTGTTTATTGTTCTGTAATTATTAACTTTTTTATATTTTTTATTGTGTATTGAAATAAAAAATATATTTTTTGTAATCTTTATAATTGTAAAATTTATAATTTTTTTAAATTCGATGTTTTCATTTTTTTTGTTGGTATTCTTTTTTATTTGTTTGTAATTTTGTATTTTCCTTTCTGCTTTATATATAAGTAAATGAAAAAAATATATATTTCATAGTCTTTTCATTTATTTTAAGTATAAATAAAAAAATAATAATATGAAATTACATTCTCCTGGCATGACGTACTGACACGTCCTAGTGAAAGAGTACACGCCCGTTATATGTTGCATAATTAAAAAGGGAATTCCCCGGTTAACAGGCTAGAGAAAGGGATGGACTCCCAAGAGCTGTTGTGTACACATCACAGTCCCCTGAAAGCAGAATTTCCATGGGACCTCATTTTCCACAGCTTGGAAATACTAAGTACCAGCCTGTGTCTTTCTTAGCCACAAATGAGACTGAGTCCAGGTTCCACCTGGTGATGGCCCTGGTGATGCCCCATCAGCTAACCATTGGCTCCCCCATCCTTTGTTCCCATCTCTGGTTCAGCTTCTCAGCCCAGGTCAACAAAGAACTCCCCCACCTCTCAGTCACTCATGGCTCTGTGCTCTCATGGATTGTCTGCAACCTTGCCCAACTGAGCCCCAGACCCTCAGCCCAGCACACAATAACTTGCCAAGTGGCAATTTCCTAGGAAGAGAAGTAGAGGACTAAGTCCTAGGTGGGTAGGACCCAGGCCTTACAGGAAGGTCAGGGCCAATAGGCCACAACTTCCAGAGAAGAAGCTGTCACTCCATCAATAACAGTTGCCGTGTTTCCTTTTTCAGCCAGGGCTGGCTTCCTCAGGAGGGAAGTGTGCGGAGGCTCCTGTGTGCAGATACCTACTGCCCTGTCTGCAATGCCACGGCTCTGGAGATCCAGCAGTTACTGGTGGGTGAGAACACCCCGATCTCTGCAACTTCACCAGGACCATCAGAGGGCTCTCCTTGCCTAAAGATTTTGCCCAAGTCCAATGTGCCTTTTGAGCAGAGTCTGGAGCATCATTCCACAAATACTCAAAAGCCCGAGCTTTCATCTGCAACCCAAACAGTGCCACAATTAACAGCTAAGAAATCCTTATCCCAGTCATTTACCTGGTCAGCTGGCCAATCAGCCGATCCAGTGAGTACGCAAGATTACTTGGCTAAAAATGTCCATCTAGGACAGAGAATTCAATGTCAAGATAGGCCCAGGGGGCATGAGACTGAAGGGCCTAGGATTCTAGTGAACCAGCAGAAGGTGACACCACACAATCGCAACTTTGCGTATGGGAACCAAGGTCAGCCACCTTTGCATTCCCAGGTCCCTATGCTGACCATGAACCAAGAAATCACTACCCTGACACATCCTATGGCCTTGCCTGTGGTCACTGTCCTCCCTTCCTACCTGCCATTCTCCAGTCCCGAAGTCCTGAGGCTCCTTGAGGTGCATGTAAAAAAATGGATGCATTTCCAGAGGTGGGGGCTGCCCAGACGGGTAGAGGAGTCCCTGAGGCAGCGTATGCCAAACCTGCCTTTGCTTTACCAACCTCTAAACAGCCAGCCAGTTTCTTTCATCCAAAATGAATTCTCTGTAGAGACTTTTGTGCCCATTTCTTACCAGACCTGGGGTCCATGTATGGCTGGCCAGTCTACTCAGGCATTCTGGGTTTCTGAATGGTCCAGGATAAACCCAATACAAATACACCACTACCAGCAAAACCCAAACCACAGGGCCCTAGCCTTGCCCTTACCAATATTTAAAGACTCAAGCGGCCTCTACCCACTTCCTGGGCAACAGGCTAATGACTCAGTGAGCCACTCACAGCAGAAATACATCCAGCTATTCTGCGGCTTACCTTCTCTGCACAGCGAGTCTCTGGCTGACACCTCCTTGGGCTCTCAAGATGACTCCGCACATGGGAGCGTGTCCAAGCTCTCTGTGGAGGATCCTTTACTCTTCAAGGAGCCCTCCTTCCTCCCTCTGCTGCCTAAAACTCCACCTCACTCAGCCCCACCCTCTTCCCCAAGATCCCCAAATTGGGTCATGCCATCTGGCCTTCAACAAGCTCAGATCCATGTCCCATTTCTGACTCTGGCTGAGTGTGAAGCCTTAGAGTGTCACCTGCTGCAGAGGCAGCTCCAGCGTCAGGGGGGTCTGCCAGCTGTTCTCCAGCCAGCTCAGCACACCCAGAACCCCGTGCACTATAAGCCTTGTGGCAGAGCCCAGTCTCCTCGGACTATGAAAACTTCCTGGCCGGGAAAGCCCACTTCTGTCCTCACAAGGGAGCTGTCCTGGTCAGAGCATGCCCGGAGGCTGCTGGACTTCCACCTCCAGAGGCAGCTGATTCACCATCGCTGGGGCCTGCCCCCGATGATCCAGCAGTCCTTCCAGTTGCTCCTGGCCCTCGCTCACCAGCAGACTCCATCCTGGAGCAGCACAGCCCTAGCCAAGGGGAGTGTTTCCCAACATTCAGCCCTAGAGGCTCCTGGCGCTGATGACCCTTTCTCGCCCTCTAAGGACTCAGTGTCAGTCCTCATGCCACACTTATTTGACGAGGTCAAGGCAATACTGCAGAGCCACATCAACTCCAAAAGTGGGCAGATCCATGAGGGCAAGGTCCCTGCTCACGTGTATAGGTCTGGTGAGGGCCTAATTCCTGGGGGCATCCCAGAAAGCAAGCTCCCAGAACTACAGGCAGCAACCCACCCTGACCTACAACAGAAAGCTAGGCTCTGGATGCTAACAGGCCTTGATCAGCAGCAACAGATCTCCCCAGATGCAGTCACTGAGCCTCGTAAGCTACCTCAAGCCCTGTCCAAGGAAGTCCTTGAGAAACTGGAGATGATTTTCAGGCACAAGTATCTGGCCTTCTTGTCAGGGCTGAATCCTCTTTATTTCGTGCCTCCCTCCAAGGCCACGGCTCCAGCAATCACTACTCATGCTGCTGGCACAGAGGCTGTCAAACCCTTAACAGAACCTCTGACTCAGAAGATCTCACTTGAAGAGCCGTGCCTAAGTCGTGAACCATCTTTTCAAGGTACCAATGAGACTTGTGCAGAAAATGCAGGTGATTTTCAGTCTGAAAAGCAAGTGGAAGGAATGATTGAGATGAAGCCTCTAGAGAGGCAGACAGAGTCTGCTAGGCTCTGCCTACTCAAGAAGCACATCTTGGCCAAACTAAATTTCCACCTGAGAAGGAAGATTTTAGAGATACAATGGGGAATTCCCACAAAGGCAAGGGAGTCCAGGGAGCAAACTTTACAAATCCCAGAGAACACATCCACCCGGGAGTTTCTTAGGAGTCTAAACAACCAAGGAAAAACATACCTCCAGGAGCTGCCCATCTCACCAGACATTCCCTGTGCCCCACATGCAAAGCGGCTCTACCTTAAGGGACAGTTGTCCACTGAGTTAAAGGCAGTGCAGCAGGACCAGAAGCAACCTAGTTCCAGAGCAGCACTGCATGGATCTGCCCATGGGCCCTCCTGCAGAGACATGACACAGGGCCCAGTGCTTGGTGTGCAGCTGGAGGCCAGTGTGGACCAGCCCGGCCTGGAGGAGTCCCAGATCCCTGAGTCCCAAAGCCCTGGCAAGAGCAAGTCCTCAGCCCCAGTCCCCATGCTGAATGAAAAGCAAGAAAACCCAAGGAAACCCAAATCACCAGGAAAACGTGGAGGAGGAGATGCATGGTTTGTGCTCTCCTCTATAAGAAAAAAAGGCTGCCCTGCTGGAGCCCAGCAGTCAAAAGGGATGCTTCTGAACAGGATATCCCAAAGACCTTGGCTACAGAGACATGGCTTTCACCTTGGTGCTCTCTGTCAGCACAGTTCCCAGCATCGCCCTCAGCTTAAGCCCCCAGACCTCCTTCCAGGAGTCCCTGGTAGGAAGGAATCTAAGAAGGATGACCTGCAAGACAGTCGAACCAGGCTCAATGTCAGCCTCCAGGGAGCGAGGATTCCTAAGAATGCCCAGCCTGCTGGGCCCCAGGCATCACAGGGCCAGCCTGTCCTGCCCCGACTCGTTCAGCCTAAGTCATTCCAGGGCCAAACTTTGCAAGGTCAGGTATTGCAGGGGCCGGTGATGCCAGCCCATCCTGGCAAGAGGCCCAGCTCTCCAGAATCAAAATTGAGATATAAGGTGAAATCCTTTCTGCAGTATATAAACCTCAAGGCAAAAGGCAAAGAGCACAAGGAATCCATGTTTGTGGCAGCTGTGCAAGTGGCCACCTCCAGCAAAGAACATGGAGCAAAGAGGCTGGCTCCAGCCAAAAGTCCCGTGGAGCAAACTAAGACAAAGATGCAGATAAGAAGGGACCCCAAAGCCCAATCTCCCCTGACTGAGAAGCAGGTGGGCCTGGCCTCCTTGGCAGGCTCCCATTCCCCACACAGTAAGCTCCTCTGCTCCAGCTCCCATCAACTCCCGTCTGCCTCAGGCTTAGGCCACCCCCTTCATTATCCTCAGCACTGTCCTCAAGTGGCTTGTGCCACCCAGCCTGGATCCCACCCCAATTCTCAACTCTCTCCCCAGAGGGAAATGTTGGCCTGCCCAAGGAAGATCCAACACAATCAAAGGACTCTGTAGGCTCCTCCAGGTCTGCATCCCTTGAAGGGATAGCTATTGTCTTTGTCATTAATATGTAAATGGGGCACCACACCACCCAAAATACAGTCTATATCTTTAAGCACAAAGAGCTGTCTGTCTGCTCATTCCCTCCACTGTTGTTTGTTAAGGGAAGGCATGAGTGAGGTTAAAATGCTCTTCCTATTTAGGGAAGAAGCTTTTTTAATTTTAAAAAAATTATTTATTGTTGAAAGTATTACATATGTTTCATTTTTTAGCCATTGACCTTTCTCAGCCCTCTCCCAAACCCCAGCACTGACTCTTATTGTCTGTGTCCATTGGTTGTGTTTATATCATGCATACACATTCTTTAGTTGACCTCTTAAATTCTAGCATGGCTTCCCATGTTTTCCTTGGACCCAGAGGAGCAATGTGGACATGAGGCTAGTACTGAAAAGAAGGAGTGGCGAGGAATCCCACAGGCAAAACTCATTGATGACTGCTATATATGGCCATATCTGGAGAGCAGCTTTGTAGGGAAGCGTTAGGGTGATCCAACCTTGAGGAGGTGCTTTGTGTTTATCAAAAGTGTTATGCCCAGATTTTGTGATCCCCAAGGACCACCAGGGAGCTGAGTCTGATGCAATAGCAGAAAGCCTGTTCCATGCTACCATGGGCTCTGTCCCACTTACACCAACATCGACGTGGCGGAAGAGAGCGAGCTTCAACAGATCAAGGGGTTTTATAGGGGTGGTGATGTCACTGCTTTGGCTGGCCCTGATTGGCTGGGTGAGGGCTAGGGTCTAGTTACCAGGAGTTCCGCCCTGCCCTCTCATTCTGCCTGAGGAGTTAGCCCTGCCCTGCCCTTTCAAAAGCACATAGCTAATGTGTGGAATGACCAAAGCAAACGTTAGAATCTCCCCCTCTCTGCTCCCTCTTGGTTATTGGTTAGATCTTTCTGGAGAACTCATCTGGGAGGCTGCTGTAGCTCTCTTGCCTATATCCCACCTCCACTGCCTGCCATCTGCATGGAGTGAGTCTTGCAATGAAGATCACAGTAAGATATGGAGAGAGATTTGTTTCCCATCCCCAAGGGCAGGTAGGAGGAAGGCAGGGAGGGGAGCATATAGACAAACAGAGGTCTGAGTATTTGGGACAGAAACTGACATGTTCTGACCAGGCTGTGTAAGGGGACAAAACCAATTTGATTTGTACTCACAAGAACCTAGACCCAGGAAGTCAATGAAAGGTCCATGTGCTTTGGGTGGGGGCCAGGAAGGGGGTTGGTGGGTGGGAGGTGAACAACCCTGAGATTAGGTCTTCTGTCCATGATGTGATGAAGAGCACTAAGATGAACTTTGTTATGAAAAAACAATGCAAATTAGTTAAAAATCTGGACATTCATCCTTTACGTATAAATCCATGTTTTTGCTCACCCCAAACATGAAGTTAGTCAATGGGTTCTAATCTTGATATATCTCAATCCTGCTCCTTTTCTCTATTTTTTACTACTTCAGCTTGTGTTCTGATTCTCATTTGTTCTTACCTGAATAATTACAATAGTGTGTCATATACCCAGGTCTTAGGATGATGGCTGGCACATAGTAACACCTTAATAGTACTTGGATCAAAAGCCTGGGCTGGGGAGGCAGACAAATCATTACGTTAGTGTGATAAAAACTGTGAAATGGGGGATCTTGACATAGGAGAAAATACCCTGCTGGTAAAAACCCCAAAAGAATCACAATAAAATTGGCCTTGATAAGCATTTTATGTTTAACAATTAAAATATGCAAGTACTTAATATATACAAGGTACTATATATAGCAAACACAACAATGGACGTAAGGACACATATGTAAAAAAATAATTTAAAAAACCCCACAATGGACATGACACAGGAGCTCATGATCTCATGAGTGTCACATGTCCAAATTGTCTAATCAACATATATTATTGGATATCTAATATTAATCTCAAAATTAAAAATTGAGCTACTGATTCCCCACCTACCACTATCGCCTAATCACACATGAAAAACTTGCTCCAATTACAGCATTCACCATATCAGTAAATGGCAACTCCATCTATCCATTTCTTTAGGACAAAATATTGACGTGATCCTTGACATTTTTTCCTAACAGTCTACATTCAACCCATCAGTAAATCTAGCTGTCTCTACCTTCTATATGAATTCATAACATGATCACTTCTCACTCCCTCTGTTGCTATGAGTACAGCAGTAGCATAACTGATCTCTTAGCTTTTTCCTGAGACCATACTTTTAATAGTCTAGACTAGGGGTGTCGAACTCAATCAGAGAAAGGGCCAAAATCTAAAATCCAGCCTAAATCGCGGGCCGAATGGTTTACTGAACAGTCATAAACTGTCATTGTGATGGAAACGCAGCGGAGTGCAGTGATGACAGCACGGTGCGGGCCACATTGCAAGGCCTGGCGGGACGGATTTGGCCCACGGGCCTTGTGTTTGACACATGTGGTCTAGACCAACATAGAAGACCGATGATATTCAGGAAAGGTTCTGGCTATAGATTATTGCTTGAAATACAGGTGATTGGTAGGTAGATATATGATAGATAGCTAAATAGATGTAAAAACCATGGGACTGGATAAGATGACAAGGGAATGAGTATAAATGAAGCAGTGACTAAAGACCAGGCTTCAGGACACTCCAACATTAAGAAATGGAGGGGGGCCCCTAATTGGTTTGGCTCAGTGGATACAGCATCCGACTGTGGACTCAAGGGTCCCAAGTTCAATTCCAGTCAAGGGCATGTACCTTGGTTGCAGGTACATCCCCAGTAGGGAGTCTGCAGGAGGCAGCTGATCGGTGTCTCTCTCTCATCGATGTTTCTCTCAATCCCTCTCCCTTCCTCTCTGTAAAAAATCAATAAAATATATTTAAAAAAATGGAGGGAGAAACAGAAAAAATAAGCAGAAAGTGAGTAGTAGTAGCCACCTAGGTGGGAGCTAAACTAGGAGAGTGTGGTATAATGGAAGCTGAGAGGAAAGCAAGGAGAAAGTGAGCAATTGCATGAAAAGTTTCCCATGTGTCAAGTGAGATGAGGACTTGGAGTTGAGTATTAGATTTAACAACATAGAGATCATTCATGACTTTGAGAAGAATAGACTCAGGTGAATGATGGAGGGAAAGGCGTGACTGGAGTAGATGGAGGGGCAGTACAGAGTGTGAAGCAGGTGTTCTTAGAAGTCTTAGAAGACTAAGCAGCAGGAGAGATTGCAGAGAAGTTCCAGTTGCATGGAGCCCAGAGATACAGAAAGAGGGCAGGTGTGCCACCCTGGAGTTCAACAAGGGACAATGGGTAGCACAATGTGTTCGCTGCTAGAAGGATACAGAAAAGCCAGGATGGGAAGAAGCATGAATGTGTTCTTCCTCTGGATGGTGATGCTGTGCCTAAGGGATCAAGGTCTCGCCCCTAATATGGCCTCCAGGATGAGGAGGCACAAGATCCAGGCCTGCTGAGCCAACACCCTCCAGATGTTTTCCTAAAGCATTCCCAGAGATCATCAGGGGTCTCGTGACAGGCACATCCTCCCTGCCTGGTGGGAATTGAGCAGACAGCTGCAGAGCAAGGCAGATCACAACAGAATGAAGGCAATGTCCAGAAAGGTCACAGCAACCTCGGGTGGGAAGACGAGGTTAATGTGCATGCGTTCTAGTTTACAGGAATTAGGCCCTTCCCATGATCTCCCATAGGATTCTACCTGTCCCAGAGCATCCTGAATTCATAGTGCTGACCAAAGTCCAGTAACAAGGTTTGGTTTCTCAGCAAAGCCAAGAGCTGAGAAAAGATAGGGTCAGAGCCTATGACTTCATTCAGGATGTTGATGAGCGATAAGGCCTTGCTCTTCCCATCCCATAACCATGGCATAAGCACTAGGCTCAAGAGGGAGAACATTAGAATTAAAAGCCTCGAGAAGAACACAAATTCAAGAATTTACAACTGTAGATTCTATAGTAGGTGAAAGAAATGTATCGATGCTTGTTTACAAACACTGGAGCTCACCTCTGCGCCTCTGAGGTATGGATCATCATGCCACGGTGAGCGGCTCTGGCCTTCTGAAGCCCTTCCTGTGCTCTCTGCAGAGGACACCACAACATTCTAGGGAGGGAAGCTCAGGCCACTGACCACCTTCCATGGAGGACAGTGGCTTCTCCACTAAATCACTTCGTCTGTTAAACACCGGGTCCTGGAGCATAGGGACCACGTCTGCTCCATTTCTGTACCTGCACACTGCAGCCCACACAGCAAGGACAACAAGCACAGGATGAGCTCAGGCATAAACCCCAGGGAGACACTGCTTCCTGCTACAGGGGAGAGGAGACAGGCTCTCTGCTCTTTCCCAACCACCCAAAGCCCAGCGTTCCACCTGGGCTCAGGGGCCCATGGCATAGGCCAGGGCTGCCAGGGAGTTAAGGACAAGCATGGTTCCTGTGTTCACTGCAGGGAGAGAAAAGAAGGGAGGACAGTGTTGAGTTGAGGTGGGGATGTGAGGAATGAGCCCACTGCAGGCATGTAAGGTGCTGGGAACAGAGAGCGCCAGAGCCCTAACAGGTCTGGCTGGGCTTGTGGAGGACTGTCCATTCTCATCTCCAGAGACACGGAGGCCAGGACCCCAAATACTTGGTCTGGATAAGAGCAGGAGGGGAAAAATAGGGGCCTGGGAAGGGGCCAGATCTCAGTTTCCAGAAGGAGGGCTGGGTATTGCCAATTGGCGCCCTTTCTAGCCTTCCCCTCTCCTGCACTGTAATTTCTCCGTGTTCATGGCCAAACAAGAAGCATACTGGGGCTTTCCACTGACAAGGACAAGCCTGCAGTAGGGGCAGTAGGGGCAAGGCCCTGGGGCAGGCAGGCAGGCCCATGGGAATCCAGATGGCAGTGGGAAGGAAAGGGAAGCCATTGCTGTGTGAATAGTGCTAGCAGCTGGCGTGCATCAGGGGAGAGGGCCAGGATAGAGTGAGAGACCAGGCAGAATCGCACACACGGCCAGAGACACATGGACACCATGCATACAGATACAAAAACAGAACAATTGCCGAAACCAGTTTGGCTCAGTGGATAGAGCGTTGGCCTGAAGACTGAAAGGTCCCAGGTTCGATTCCAGTCAAGGGCATGTACCTTGG